TGTGCTCATGGGGGCCCGGAGATGCTGGAGGCGTAGGGGAGGGCGGATGCTTTGGAACAAACTTTTCTGGCCCCTTTTCTCGCTTAGGGATGTGCGAGAAGTGGGAACGGCCCCGTGGGCAGGTCCTGCTCGTCCCTCTGCCGCAGTGTCCGAAGGTTGGGCTGGGCTGTTCTAAAGTCAGGTTGATGCTAATCCACATTAGGAGTACCGTGACAAGTTTAAGGCGACCTCTGCTCCCAGCTGATGTAATAAAAGGTTAGCATATGATGAGTTAGCCTTTTCTAAAGGTCTCTTCTTTTAGTGCTGGGAGTGGATTTTCCTTTACAGGGATAGGTAAGAGTATTCATATTTGATATACTCTCTAAATACTGTCCAATTATTGTCTAGGGAAGAGTAGAGAGCAAGGTAGTGACCTAAAATATTCTGAGTGCTGAAGGGTTTCAGGAGTCACAGGCATTGTCTCATTTAGCAGCTGCTAGAGAGCTCTCTTTCATAACGTTAATGGTTCTCTTCTTGAATTCTATAAACTTTCAGTATTTGTAACATCCTGTACTGAGAATTTCCTAGCTTAAACTCAAATCCTGAGAAGCAATGCTACCTTTTATTTGTTCTGAACCTCCCTCTTTCTGATTTATTTGATGTCCCTTTGTTCTTTTTTTTTTTTTAAAGAACCAATGAATAGTTGATATCTGTTTACTCTTTATAAACAGCTGTGATTCCCATCATGTTTACTCAGAGTTATAAAAAAAGCTTTAACTGCTTTTGTTCTTTATGTGTACCCTATGCTTGCAACATGCATCCTGCGCTGGACTGCAGTGGTCCTTGTGCCAGCATCATTAGCTGTGTGCTCTTTGTCCCAAGCTTATTTTTTTATTTTAAAAAGCTTATGTTGTCTTCTGTGTCAAATGTAAAACACATAGCATGAAGGTTCTGTTTGGACAGTTTGCCAGTGTTCAGCTGCACGCAAGTTCTTCTATAGGGAACTTAAGCTTATGAGACATATTTGGCATTTTAGCTTATTATTTCTATAAAAAATGCATTTAAATGTTCTTGGAAGGAACTTTACTGAGATACTGGAAAAATAATGAAATACACGGTTGCAATTAGTGGGAAACACTGAGTATGTTTCTACTCACTTTTTGGAACTGCAATCTTTGATGCAAATGAGACTGGCAAATATTTCAATGTTGTAGCCTACAAGCCGTAACACAATACACACTGACTGCACGCTTTAACTCGTGTTTTAGTCATATCAAAACTATTAAAAGACACTTTTGAAAACTGTTATTGATTGACCAAGTGCATTTTTTTGTTCAGTTGGTTTTTTTCAGCCCCACAGTGAAATTTGGGGGTGGAGGAAGAGAAATTAAAGAGAATGAAAAATGTGTGGGGGCTTTTTTCTTGAGGAAAAAACTTAGATTTTCCCGGTATACACACTGCCCTTCAAATAAAACAGTGGCTTTGTTACAACTTTTGTTAAAAATAGAGAGCGGCTAGAGTGCCAAAGAATGCCAGGTGACAAAAGATGATAGGAAGATAGACAAAAAGATTTGGTTTGGTTTGGTTTTTTTTTCAATCTCAAATAGGAATCGGGGATACTTTAACTGGATTTATCATTCATTCTGCAATGTGCTTGATGCACCTCTTCACAGAACCTCGTGTCTGAGGTACTGCCTTTTTTTTTTTTTTTTTTTTTTTTTTCCTTTCAGCCAACAGTGATAAATAAAGGCCTTGCCAGAATCTATACAAGGTAGGAAGGACATATGTTGTTAACTTTTTATGAACTGACGATGATACCCAGGACCTCTGCAGGTCGCTTGTATCACCCAGGAGGTGTGTACTGGATCTGAGCACTGCAGTCCCAGCTCCTAGACTTCCACCTTTACTGTGCTCACCCTTGAAGTGTGTCAGGGTTGCTTGTGTTCACATAAATTGTGAAGGGTACCTGTCTGACGAATCCATGCTTCTCCATGTGGTTGCAGATGGAAAAATCAAGTTTAATACTCTGCAGCTTTTTTACTATGGCAGGATGCATGTCACGTTCATATACTGGGGATTCGGATATCTACTGAAGTCCTAGTTTTCCGTTCCGGTATGACTGTGCAGCTGTCCTTTGGTGTAGTGTAGGTTTTTTCTAATGCCCTTTGGAAATATTTATTATCCAATAAACATAGTCTTGGATTCATAGAATAGGTAACTATTGTTGCTCTCCTATAAAATTTGGAATATGAGTGCCTGTACTAGAGTGTTGATGCACTGAGGTTTGTGTGGTTGAGGTGCCCAAATACCTCATGCAGACCACTTTATTTCTTAGGGAACTACAGTGAAAATTCTGCTTACATAGTAAGGCTTATGTGTGTTTCATCCTTGGGGGAAAAAAAAAATCTTTAAATTGATCAACCAATTTCAGCCTATTTGTCAGGGGTACAGATTTTGAAAACATTATATGAAAGGGTTTGAGTGATTTCTTTTATTTATTTGAAACAAATTTTTATGCCAAAAGGGGTAAGGCCTCTTTAGCATTCACGCTGAGGGAGCAACCAGCGAGAATTGTACTCCTGTTAGGCATCAGTAATATGCGCGTGGGAGCTGAACCTCCAGGCAGAGCTCTGCAGAAATCGAGCTTCCTTAATTCTGCTGTTCATGTGGAGCTGTGTTGTGGACTACATGGTTCCTGCTGTTCTGCTGAAATCTGGCTTGGCTTGTTGGGTTTTTTTCTCACTTTGCTGCCACTCAGGCTGTTGCCCTGTGTTTTGTTTCTCTTGCAGGTAAATGGCAGGACAGAAAGCAGTGTGAAAACTTTGAAAGGCACTGAGAAGTCCAAGTAGGTCATTCAATGCTGAAGGGTATTAGGGATGAGGTCTCCTATTTAACTTCTCTACACTTTCTTGGCATGCTTTCTAAAAGGTTGGCGCTTGTCCATTCATTTGCCTCTTGCCTAAAACAATGGCAAGTAAGCTGAGCTGTTGTGGAATAGTAACACAGTCTTGATTAAATTGCTGAGAGTCCCTTTCTCTTCCCTGTCAGGGCTGGTGGCTGAGCTGCACACATGAAAAATCTTTCAACTCCTTTGCATGGGTGAGGATGGTAGGATATACTTAAAACTGCCTTATCCACCCAATTCATTGTTGAAAGTTTCTGCCTGACTTCATGTATCAGGTGGACAGAGTGAATCATCTCTGATGTAGTTTTCGTTAATTAAATGTGAGCAATTAAGTCGCTTAGCTTTCTTAACTTCTGCTTGCTTCTGATAAAGCAATATCAAACTTCTGAGTCTGCAAAACAAGGAAAGACTAGTGAAAGATGGTGGCTGGACAGAATGACACAACTCAGTACAGGTGATGTTGGCTGAACTCCTAGTGCTTTTTCTGCTCATTTTTGGCCAAAATGGGGCCCTATCCAAACTGGAAAGAGAGATATGGAAGACCTGAAAAACTCTGTGAAAATGTGGTTGTCAAAGAACAGTATCAAAGCTAAAATCCACCTAACAAAGAGGCATCTGGTGTTAACGTAGCAAGGGCAGACGCATATCCTGCTAAGAAGTAGTTCCTCTGCCAAGAATTTTTTGAAGTGCAGGAAGCATAAATCTAGAAAGCCCCAGAAGAATTCAGGTTCATGTTTCCTCTCTGTTTTCTGTCACTGTTTTCACCTTTCTCTGAGCGGGCAGAGAACTTTCCTTCAGAAGTGTTAAAGAGAAGATCTAGAAGTTTTTTCTCTCCCACAAAAAATTTTGATGCAACGTGAAGTTATTCAGTGATTCCACTTAGGATAGCTTTGTGGGGAGCGGGAGTGGAATCTAAATAGTGAATTTCCCCAGCAAATGTCCGGCTGGGTTACAGGAGAGCAAGCTGTCCATGTTAATGATACCAGAAAATATATAATTAAGTCAGAATGGGAGTAGCTCTCCAGCAATGACTTGACACGTTGACTGAAATCTTGCACATTCCAAAGGAAGTGCCAGGTGTGCAGGCAGCGAAGGCAGACTTTGCAGCATCTTCTGAGAAGGAAACTCGCCCAAACAGGAATGCTAGTTTTCTAATTCAAAGTCACTGATGGACAAGATAGAAATAACTCTTAATCTACGTATTTTTGCACAACACTTCTTTGTGGGGTGGTTGTTTTTTTTGTTTGTTTTTTTTTTTATTCATTCTTTGAAAATTATTCCCATTCTGCTGTAACTGCTAGAACTCTTCATGTTCTGATGATCTTCCAGCTTACCTGTAGTGGAAGTCCTTTCTCTGGCAGGACTAAGCAACCTGAATTACCTCTCACTACTTTGGACTTTCCATTCACTTCTTTCTCTTGCCAAGTAACCTTTAAACTTGGCTTTGAAGCTTGTGCCCAGCTTTCTGTGTCTAAATTCTAAGTCTTGTTTTTGATGTGTTGATGTGTTAATCTGTATTTTTCTCTTTTTCAGTTCTTGTTAGCTGTTGGACATGGAGATTTTCTCTCTAAAGTTTTACCCCCAAATTCTTCTGAAGCTCACCAAAAAAACCCCAAACAAACCCTAAACCAATTTTCCTGCTCCTGGTAATGTTTGTTGATAACTCCATAGGGGTTTTTTCAGCATATATTTATATTCAGATAGCATGCAGTGCCAAGTTCCAGGGTACTTGAGCAATAAAAACAATTTTCCATGCAAATTTGAACCCCAGCTTCATGCTATCTTATGAGAGTTTTATTGCTAGGCAAATTGTTTACAAGAAAAAAGAAATAGAGACTTATAAATTTTGAACACAGCAATATGTGGATTTAATTAAAAGGCCTGATGGAGGTAATATTGTTTGCTTGGTTGTGGCTTAAATTAAAAAAACCCCTTTGTCTTCCATATGTAAATCTTTAACCAAACTACACCTGCTCACAACATACAGGTTTCTGGAGTGTAGGAGCTTCTTCTTTCTACTTTTTTTTTTATTATTATTAATTTCTCTAAATTTTGTGTTTCAGTACTAAATCACATGTATCCTGATGTGTGTTTGTTTTTCTGTATTGCATATGCCACGCATGATTCCTTTCAGCTAAGACAATGTACTTCTTTAAAGGAGCCCTGCAGAGAAGCGTACTGAAAAGCCTACAAGCTCTTTAATTGTATTTGTGTAGTTTATACTTAGCCTGATGCTTTGGCATGTTTACATGGAGTTATTTCGTATTGCAAATGTTGTGCTTCTAAAATCCAAGCGTTAGGTAATTCAAGATAGTAATGCTGTGAAAGACCATTTCTGCTTCAAGTTTTTTTGTTACCTTACTACTGTTGTCTGAATAGAAAGCTCTAATAAACTCTTAAATACAGCCCCAACAAAATAATCTTTGGGTAATACACTTTCATTAGAAATTTTAAATCCAGTTGCATCAAGCTATTCTAGCTGCTGATGGTATAGGATACACATGACTTTGTGGTTTACCAATATATGAAACTGCCTGTATTGTCTTACAGTATTGGTGTGATGACCCTCCAGATATCAGTGCCTGGTGTGTGCAGGTAGGGGTGCAATTCTGGGATGCTCTGTCTTTCTGTGAAAAGCTCTGGACAGAAATGCATACAGGTGTCAGCCCTTGGGGGAGCTCGTGGTTTGTGTTTTAAAGAGAGATCTGTTTCCAAGTCTTTGCAATTTGTTTATTTTAGAAACTAGGAACTGGGCATACAAAAGGATTTCTGTTACCTCGTTCTCCACCAGAATTTTGTTGCTACAGTTGAGGTTTTATTACATGTATCCAACTTGCATTGACCTTGTTATTAACCAATCAAAATAGCAGTCTGTTGCATAGATAGTTCGTTTGGAAGAAAACTTTTGCTCTGAAATTGCTGGTCACCAGAAAGGTTTCTGGGACAGTATCTTCTAGTACTTCAGTGGTTTGAAGTAAACGCAGGAATAAGCTTTAAAACCTGCTCTCTGTGCTGCGGTCCAGTGATGCTTTGGCAGCAGTAGCAGTGTATGATGTTCCTCCCCTGTGATTCATTCCCATCATATGCTACCACTGGATTAGATGTACCAACACAGTTGATTGTGGTGCTGCTTGGTGAACTGGATGAAACAACTCCTCACACTTTTTCAGTGTGTGGTCACAGTTGAGGAGGTGGCATGCATGCTACCTGGGTGAGGAGGGGTAACAGGGTTTGGAAACATCTGAAGGCAGCCTCACTGCTGGAGAGAGGGTGGCAGTGTCTCAAAGCAGGTAGTGATCCACCCTACAGGGAGAGCAGCAGTGAGTTACAGTTGCATCTTCAGGCAGAACAGTGTTATGGTATTAAAATACATCCACTCTTCTGTCACTATTTGCTTAGACCCTTTGTGTTCAGAAATATTATGTTGTATTGTATGTTGCCAGTAACAGTGTTCAAGCTTTAGTAATAATATCATGCTAAAAATGTTTAATTTGTAATGTTTTAAGTAATTTTATATTAAAAGAGGTTTCAATTCAGGGTTTGAAAAATGCAAGAAATGTTTCTAAGCCTCTAATTTGACAGAACTTACCTATTTTTTTTCCTCCCTCCCCTAGCACTGTTAAATGAAAATCTTGGTGCAACCGTTCTGGAATAATATATGCAGTCCTGCTGTCAGCTTTTGCTGGTCAGTGCTGTTCTTCATTTTACTGATTACCTTTACAATATGCAGTTGTATACACATCTCTCTTTCCATTTGACTGGAGCCTTGAAATGGGATGACTGATTTTTTTGACGTATGATGAAACTCGCATGTATGCTTTTCTGCCAAAGCTCCAAATTACTTGCCAGATTGCATTTCAGGTGATTCATGTTGTTTTAGAAATGTAATTCCTGCCATTTTCAAAAAGGTTAAGCTGCTTCTGCATCTTCCTCGTGCTTATTTTCCTCCAAATTCTTCCCTTCCAACATCCCGCTGGGTCTTTCTGGAGCAAGGTTTCTGCATTGCTTCCCACCACTGATTGGTTTTTAATAGTGTGTATGTACATACATTGATACTTCCTTAAGCACTGTTTGTTGTAGTGACGACAGTTGATATCACTCAAGTTGCCTGTTGCAGCTTTGTGCCAAAGCTTAAAGTAGTCTGTTTTCACTTAGTACAGAAGAATTTTGTGCTCATAGTGGCAAGATAGCACTATGTGGATATAGATAAAGGCTTTCTCAAAAAGGACAAAGCTGAGACTTAAATGTTGATTTGTTTGGATGGTCTTGAAGAGGAAGTTGAAGGGAGGGAGTTTAATGACTTTTATAAGTGAAGTACTTCACTATTGCTCATTTTCATATGTTCCTTTTGCTATTTTGATGGTGTTGGAGCTGTGATCTTTCTGGAATATGCAATACAGTTCCTCCCACAATTGGTTTCTTCTGTTTGAAGCAGCATATTTGCTGCTGGTTGTAAGTTGAGGATTACTGATAGCACCTCAAAGGCATTTGGGTGAGAAGGCAGATGCAAGTTCCTTCTTGTTCAGGCTAGCAGTGGAAGCTCCAGCATACAACAAATGACTGCTTGTAGTTGTTCCATGCTGTTTTCAAAGTTCCTGCTGTTTGTGTGATGAAAGTTTAGAATGAATTGTATTTAGGCTCTATCCATTTGATTATGAAACCTACTCTTCACATATCAGGAAAGGTATAGGGAAGCCTTTAAGAGTCAAATATCTCCTGTAACGATTCCCCAGTCTGCCTAGGAAGGCTGTTTGTGGATCTTTTACAGCATGTATTTTCCTAATGCTCAGTATAAGTTTTCGTTATTGTAGCTCAAGCCTATTAAGTTCTGCTTGTTCTGTCGCTGATTAGTGAGAATAATCTGTTCTTGGCTTCTTTAGAAAAATTCTTTATGTATTCTAATCTGGGTACTATGGCTAGTTATATTTCAAAGAACAGCTTTTCTTGTACGTGCTACTTTCTGAACCTTTTATCTGGTGTCCTCCAAATAATGCAGTTTCTTGAGGTCTGATTGATCCTGAGTGGAGTGAATTTTTATTATAAACAGGTAGCAGTGCAGCCCAGCAATGGGATGTCTTGGTTTATTATATGGACCTTTCTTTGTGGTAAACTGTTCAGGCAGTAGACTATGTAGACAAGAAGTGTGAATCTTGAAGGTGGGGTGTGTGTACAGAGGGGTGTGTGTGTGTGTGTGTGTGAACCTACAAATGACAGAGTATCTTGTTACTAGGTCTGAGGTCACGATCCCTTTCCACGTGCAGGTACCTCTGAGGACTTGTCCCTTTGCCTGTGGGAAACTGGCAGTAAGGCAAGACTGGGAATTTGGCTAATTTGTGCTTACGTGGTTGGAATGAAGCCAGTTGTCTCTGGGCTCTCCACTCATTGCATCTCCATTTCACTATTGTCTGTCTAGCCTGTGAGCTCTTCATAATGGCTGCTGAGGCACTGAGTGTGTCTAGCTGTGATAAGAAATTGTTAGCAATATTAAAAACACTTGCTAAAGCTTATCTTTAAAATAACTGTCATTGAGTGTGCTTTTCCTAACTTTTTTTTTCTTGCTTTGTGCAGGACTTTGTTTCTGGCTAAAGAATGCAGACTATAAAGTGTGTAGTTGTTGGAGATGGTGCTGTGGGAAAAACTTGTCTTCTTATCAGCTATACCACCAATGCCTTCCCAGAAGAGTACATCCCTACTGTGTTTGACAACTACAGTGCCCAAATGACTGTTGATGGCCGGACAGTTAGCCTGAATCTCTGGGACACTGCAGGCCAGGAGGAATATGACCGCCTGCGCACCCTCTCGTATCCTCAAACCAATGTATTCGTCATCTGTTTCTCCATCGGTAGCCCCTCTTCCTATGCAAATGTGAGGCACAAATGGCATCCTGAAGTTTCCCACCACTGTCCAAATGTTCCCATTCTTCTAGTGGGCACGAAGAGAGACTTGAGAAATGACCTGGAAACAGTTAAAAAGTTGAAAGAGCAAAGCTTGGCTCCCACTACCCCACAGCAGGGGACTTCGCTGGCTAAACAAATTGGAGCAGTCAAATATTTGGAGTGCTCAGCGTTGAATCAGGAAGGTGTTCGGGAGGTGTTTGCTGAAGCTGTGCGTGCAGTTCTGTATCCTGTGACAAAGAAGAACACAAGAAAGTGTGTCTTACTGTAGTTACCTCTGGTGCTGGATGTTCGAAGTTGAATATTGACTAGAATCTTGGAGGGCTCTTTAATGAGTCAAGTTGAAGATTTGCATCTTGCACTAACAGCTCTAAGCAGAAATGGTTTATGCAACGAATATTCTTGCAGTCTTACTGCTTCAGGGAAACTGAAACAGAGCAGGTTTTCTTTTTTCCAACTAAGAGGTCAAATATATACTTTATTTCTAAAGTTCCAGTCTCCAGCTTTTCTAGGGATCACTTGGTTTCTGTCCTTATATAGTGGAGGAAAATAAAAGAAGGGACTTCTTTGAAGCCAGACTTGTTTACTAGATACCCATCAGTTACTAGATTTGCTGAAAAGCACAAATTCTGATAACTTTGCTTTAAGCATAGCTGCTGCTCTTCTCATCCCTTATTTACTGATTGGATTTGTTTTACAAACGGGAGTCTGGCTGTACAGTTGTTTTACTTTGTCAATTTAAAGCTTGAAAACAATTTGTTTACATGCAAAAATGCCTGAAATATTACTGAGATTCACCTTATAGTGAACTGTGATCATTTATATGAAGAGTTAGCATAAGGCATGTTTAATGCAATGAGCAAGACCCAGGGAACACCTGCTGTGATTTTATTCATAGAAGCAGGAGCTGATTTCTCCTAATGTAGGGAACTTTAGGATAATGATGAATCACTCAAATGAGTGATTTTCATACTTTTGAATTGGAGAGGTAGAAGAGTAATTTAGATGCAAGTCTTCCATAATCATCTAAACTGAGTTTTTATTTCACTCTCCAAAGAGACTTTGCACCCTGAGAGTAAAGTTAACAGTTACCTTCTTGAACTCATTGAGGTAGTTGGGATGACACTTCTCAAAACAAGATTTTCTGTGTGATCCCTTTGATGAATCCCAGAGACTTGATAGCAGCCTGTTTGCTCTGAGGAATAAGTTGCTTCGCTTCTTAATGTTCTTGGGGCCACTACCTGAGATTTTTACAGCAAATTTCTTTGTTGTTTTTCTGGGAGAACAGTGACAGAAAATTGGGAGGGTCTATTTACAGGAATCAGGAACCCTCATTTCTTCCTGGCAACTCACTGATAGTTTCAGTTAAATTTGTAATGGTTAGCCAGTCACTGGATAGGTTTATCTGGGCGATTTTCTCCTCTCTACTAGGTGATCAGTTATAAACTCTTTTTAACTGAAGTTCTATTTACATACTTTTAAACTTTCTTCAGCAGCTCTAGTGAGTGGCAGCTGGCTTTTATTTTCAGGATGTGTACTGTCCTTTATGTGTGATTCCGGGACCAGCTGAGGAGTAAGCGCATGAAACCTTCCTTAGACTTAACAACCTTACAGCGTGGTGGTATGAAAGCAGCATGCTTCAAAGATACTTTGTGTGAAACCAGTGGTGCTGGACTGGGCTTTGTTGTCTGAAGTTGACAGTGCTGTCTTTGTCCGGATGCAATTGGTAATTCAGAACTTGCTTTCTTGTGATTCCCACACATGCAAAACTCCACTGGTGTATTCCCTTGGGCAGAAAAAAGCCTCATTTTAGCAAGATAACAGAAAATACATGACCAAGGTTATTAGGGATCTTGTGTTAATTTGACCTTGCTTTGCATGATCTGGGCAAAAATACCAGGTGGATAGAAACATTTAAATTTGTGCCCCAGTTCCCCTCTTTGAAGAGGATGTGCCTTTCTTCAGCGGGCGTAACTGATGCTGACACTAACTGCAATTTTTGTGTATCTGAGGTATGCTCCTACTGGTACTGCTTTAGCAAACTGCAACCCATTGGTATAAACTGCAGTTAATCCAAATACTGATATATGTGGCTACTGAATCAACACAGTGCCAAACTTTGCCTCATCGCAGGCAACACCAAAACACCCGTTACGCGTGATGTTTGCAGAAGCCTAGAGACTCTGCATTTTTTTTCTTCACCAAGTGCCATTGCTTGGAGTGTCTTTGCATCTTTTGCGCTCATAGAAGAAGTGCTGTTCCAGATGTGACTCCTACCACAGTGCCCTGCAGACTGTGAGGGTGTAAGAGTATTTTGGTGAGGTCACCTCTACTCACCACATTCTGCCTTTACTTTAGTAGTAGGCCTTTAGCATGGGCTTGATTTGCAGGTGGCAATTAACTCTGTGCCTTGTAATTCACAATTATTTTCTGTCAGTAAATTTCAGTAACTGAGTAAATAGTTTATGATGTTTAACATGTATTTATTTAAGCCAGTGCACATGTTTTTTTCTAATGCTGGTCAGGCCTAAATCATCTGTCTAGTTACCCTGGTGCAAGCCTGTAACCTTTGCTTTATTCAGAGATGTATTTTTAAAAAGTTTGTGATAGTTTGAACTGCTCGGAAATAAGACTTTTAATTTCAACAACAGGCACATCTTTTTGTTTTTGCTACATGTATTTGCAATTTTGTACTGAAGCTACTACTGTTTAAAAAGTTTTTACTTTTTTTACATACCGAAATCTTCTAGTTCTGCATCTTATGTAGTTATTCCTAACTGGATTACAATAATTTTGTGGAGAAGAAGAAATCCTGTGAGCGAGTATGATTGCACCCCTCCCCCATTTCTGCAGGCTCACAGAGCAGCCATCCTGGTGTTAACTGGAAGAGAGTATGGTGAGATAAAATTCAACTCCTTAATCAATTTATTTGAATTGATTACATTATTGATTACGTTATGCTAGAACACTTTATCCCCATCTAGATTACGTAATAAATGGATTGCACAACAGAACTGAGGAAATAACACGACAGTGATGAAAATGAGCAGAAAGTGAACTTTGAACACCATCAAAAACTTTTTTACTGACCTTGGAGTACCTCATTAACAGTCAGTTAGATGCCTTTTATTTCTGGTTTTCTGCCAGGAGCAAAAGTCCTGCCGGCTGACAGCTGGCTTCCTCCAGCCTCTGCTTTTCATGAGAGTGAGCTTCAGGAGCACATGGATGCAATGAGCTTTTCCATTCAGTGGGCATTCTCAGTTTGTGATCTTCCTTTTCTTCCCCCCCCCCCAAGTCTTGGTGCATTTTATTGTAAGTAGTCCAGTGCTTCAGTTCATTCTGTTCCTCCCATGTGTCGTGGTGGGTTTTTTTCCTTCCCCCTCCTGTGGGTAGGTAACAAATACAGATGTCACACAATCCTGTGGCTGGATTTTGCCTTTTTTCAGGAGATCAGAAAACCTGCTGGGTTAAGCTGTGCAGGTTTCCCAAGCTGTTCAAGATTCCTCAGAGTTACTGAATAGAAACACGGTGTATGTCTTAATTCACGGAGGAGACTCTCTATGAAGAGGCCGATGTTAACCTTTCTGTTTGTGAATGATTTCTGAGATGCTGAAGTGTTTTTTTTAAATGCAGCTGAAGCCATTCACAGGGAGCTGAGCGGTTCGGGAATTCTGTGTCCAAAGGATGTTATGAGGTGCGCTTAGATGTGTAAGTGCTTTCTCCAGTTTACAGCTGTAGTTATTTCTATGAAATTTAAACTAGAAGAGCTTCACCATGCTTTGAGTGCTAAACCTCGCTCTGTAGAAACCTTGGTGCTGCTTGGGTGGACCCTGAGAAGCGGATGGATCTCACGGGGTCCTGACCCCCCGGGTGGGCTGCAGGGAGCGCCTGTCAGCAGTGGGAGCCCAAGAGTCTTAAGTGTGGTACTGATACATACACTGGCAACTTGATTTTATACTATAAAATAATTTGTATTACAGCTAACAGTTTTAAAGTGTTTTTTTTTAAATTATGTGGAATTAAGTTGTAATAAACTTTTCCTCATCTCTCTGGCTCTCGTGTTAACTCACCCTGCTGTTTGTAACGCACCTGTTCTAAACGTAGTTCTTTCCTGTGGAAAGCCAGACCCCGTTTCTTAAATGCAATAAACAATTTTTCTGTGAAAGCAGGAGCCTCTGCGCTTCCTTGGGACGCTGCGGGGCCGGGCCGCGCGGGGGCGCTGTTTGCCGTCCGGGAG